GAAGGCTGAGCGGAGATTTCTCCCTGTCGGTGGTTGGTTGGTTCGGATTGATTGGTTGCAGGTGAGGGCTTTTGGTTGCTGCGTTCTTGGTGCCGGGCTCAGTAGTCGGGTTGGAGTGGCTGGGTCAATGCCCTATGATTTCCCTCTTCCAGAAGCCCTTGTGGGTGGTGGGGGTCCGATTGTTTCCGGTAGTGCCGGGGCCGGTTGTTCGGGTCTGGTATTTTTGGGGTTGGATTGGTACTTGCTTCGTTTTGTTAGCCGAGTGGGGTTTGAGGGCTTTTTGCGTTGGCACGTTAGGTTGGCTCGGGAGGGTTTCAGGCCTTTGGGTCCCGCTTTAGCTAGGCTTTGACGCAGTGGTGACCGGGGTCTAATTGTCTTGACCCCCTTTAGCTGGCTTGGTTCTTGGGTGCACTTTGAAGCTTTCGGCTGGGGGAGGGATGGTTTTATGTCGCTTTGTTTTCTTTTAGTTTCATTGTGTGTTTTTAGGTGTTTTCGGTTTGAGTCACTTGACCCCAGTTTGCTTGGGGAGATTAGTTTGTATTCGATTTCGGCTTTCGGCTTATCACTCGTTTGCTACTATTCTCTGCTGGCTTGGTCCGTTGATTTTGCTGTGGTTCGGAAATGATTACAGGCTAGACATTGTGCAGTGGCTCTGTTTTCATTTTCATTTTATTTTATTTTGTTTGTGGAGTTCTTTAGGCCGCCTTGTGCGTGTCCTCTCAGGTTTCTATTTCAGTTTGTTTTGTAGGGTGTTTTTGGTTTGGGCTGTTGGCCCCTGTATCATTACCCTGTTGGGGTCTTAGATATTACCCTGTTGGGGTCTTGTAATTTGTTCCTTTTGCACTTTTGTGCTTTTATATACTACCTCTATCGTTTTGGGGAAAAAAACCAAGATTTGAAAATGCAACTATTGTTTACAGATAAAATTCATTCCACCCCATCAGGCGATGCCTCCATGAGATATGTACCAATTTGTCTATTTGAAGATATAGAAATGTAGTAATTTATTCAATGATAAAAAATTATCATCATTTAAATGAGGCATTCTTAATTTAACATATTATTCATGAATTGATACTAGAAATACCTTATAAAGATTATACAATCATGAAGTATGAATATACGTTGGACCATAATGTTTTTAAAAAAGACGTTTTGTTTTTAAGTTTTTGAATAAAAAGATGTTTTTCCAAATAAATTACGAAGAATTTTGCATTTATTGATTTATTGGGTTACAACGAGTATGCATGTCTTTCTATGAGAACGTCAAAATCAAAATGAAAGAAAATCAAATTATCAACATAACAAAATAAAAGAACTAATACATCTATAATATACATTATGTCTTTATTTATTTATTTCATTTGGGACTCATTTTTTATATATATGTTTATTGAGATTGTAATATTTAATTTCATTCTTTTTATACTGGAACATCATTATGTTATTTCAAAAAAAAAAAAAAAATACATTAAAAGTTCATCTGTTCTCTATTTTATTTCGTTCTTAAATTATATATTTAATAAACTCAGTAATTTAACGATTAAATATAATCGACAAAAACCATTCACTACTACTTCATTTTGTCGGTGGTAGAAAAATGGATAAGTAATTGCATTAAAATGACAGCATAACTCATTTCTGGCTGTAGAAATCAGTTTAATTCTTCCAATAGGGAGTCTTTCTTCTCTCGCTGGGGAGTTATAATTCCTTCAATGAAAAGCCTGTAATCTTGCTATATCAAGCTTAAGTTAAGATCATCTATCTACCTTCTTCTTCTCTTCTATCTTATTCTTGGCCTTTTCTTTTTCTTCTTCTCTCATCACCTTGTTTTCCCCTTTCTGTGCCTAGGGTTTGCTCTGTTTGTTTGCTTTCCTCTTATTTTTTGTTTAGGCAAATTGGGCAGCTCAATCAAGGCTCTCTATCTCAATCCCCCCCCTCCCTCTGCATTGCAACCATGGATAATCTGGAGCAAAAGCTAAAAGAATGTACCTCAGCCAAAGGAAGAAAATATCGTACCCCTCCAGGAAGGAGATATAGCGTCGAGTGCTGAAGAATATGAGCGCAGTCTTTTGGCAAGGTCATTGGAGACAGGAAGGCTCATCTTTATGGCCTCAAGAGAACTATGTCGCAAACATGTCAAATTCAAAACCAGATGGAGGCCAGGGAATTGCAGAATAACTTCTTTCAATTCACCTTTGAGCAAATAGAGGACAAAAAGGAAGTGGCTAGAGGAAAGAGCTAAACCTACGAGAATCAGTATTTGCTCCTGAAAGAATGGCAAGAAGATATCCACGCAGACCATGAGTGCTTCTCTGACATGGACATGTGGATTCAAGCAGATTGTATCCCTCTGAACTGGCTAAGCATAGAAGTAGGCATCAAAATTGTCAAAGTCTTCAAGAATGCTAAAAATGTTCTAATCACAAACTTGAGTACTAGAAATGGAAGGTGTATCAAATTCCTGGCCACTATCAATATCAAAGAGCCTCTGCTCAGGTGCACTAAAGTTCAACTGGGTGATAAAATTCAGCGAATAATGTTCTCCTATGAAAAATTCTTAAACTTCTGTTACTATTTCGGTTTCATTGGACATTTAGAAAGATCTTGCGCCATAAGAGCTACAGACATTCAAGCTGGCA